AAAAAAAATCTTGTTTGTTTTAATCGTTAATACAATCGCTCTGCAGGAGACCCAATTAAACATGTAATTATCAGTTTGGCATAGCATATAATATTGCAAATGATGTTTGTAATGCCAGTAAGCTAAAGTATACATATACATTATATATTCCTAGTACCAACATGCAGGAAAATACCTACCAAAGCGGAAACGTAATTAAGATGAATAGCACGGTTTAAATAATACGATTAATCAACGATCTGCGTATTCGTGTTTGTAAGTATACGGGAAAGTTTCATTAATATACTCGGGAATTATATTATATTTAAAATAAATAAGTGTGAATAAGACAAATTATAACCTTGTTTATCGTTTTATAATTATTATGAAAAATATATTAAAAATAGACACTTTAAACGATCTAGTATTTGCCTAAATTATAATTGTCTATACACAATGAATTTCAAAAATTAAGACTAAGTGTCAGTTGTTAAATCTTCCAATTTTATATTTTTTGGTTTGTTTTTTAAGTATCGATAAAATTGTCAGGCTCTTTAAAAACCTTAAAATATAATAAAAAATTCTGTAAATTCTGTTTTTCTTATAGACATTTAAAAATATTAAAGACARATGTTTTTTTTTCTGTAAACGTTTGATTATTGTAAATTTTGGAAAAATTGGCAAATTATTTTGTAGTAAAAAATTAATACACAAAAATATTTAAGAGACCTATTTTTTAAAGAAAGACACTTAACTTCAGTTGCAGATAGAGTCCCGTGCATTTAGAATGTACAGATAACGTACAACTATTGCATTTGATAGGAATATCCAGTTCTGCGAATTGAATATTACAGATGTTACAAAAAACTCCAGTCATGATGAAAATAATTAGAAACAAACTAAATAATGCAAAGAGTGAAACAGATAAATTAGAAAAAGATAACGCACAGAGTAAAGTACAGCGAAACCATACAGCTCAACAGTCTGATGATAACCGAATATTGTCGGCATTGCTACCGATTGTGCACCTTCTATGGCTGGCACAAAAAAAGGACTGATTGGACTATTAAATACTGACACATAATTTCTTGATTTCCTACCTGTACATTGTATTATTCATATTTTACATTCATACATTCATTATTCTAGCAGAAAAATATTTTCAATATTCGCAAATTATGCCGGTAGTTTTAAAAATTGTGAACTGCATTCTTCAAGTTCCAAAACACACCGACAGTTCAAATCTTTTATAGAAGATATGGACAATTATGAGTTACCTGCTGATGTATCTTGGTACTGCTTAGTGAGATGGCTATCAATAAGTAATGTTCTTAACAGATTTTTTGAATTACTTGATCCAATAAAAGAATTTATGGAAGAAAAGGGAAAATCTTTACCTGAACTTAATGAATCTCAATGGTTGTTAGATTTGGCTCCTGTTACAAATGTGCAGTGTTAGGAACAGATA